ACGTATCACGTGCCTTCTTCCACGATACTCCAACATCGCTCCTGTGTTGGTTCAACTTCATTGGCTTCCAGTTGTCTCCCGGATCAGATTCAAGATCGCGCTGTTGGTTTTCAAAGTTCTTCGTGGCTGCGCTCCATCTTACTTATCTGAGCTACTACACTTGAAGGCTCCTSKGCGCTATACTCTTCGCAGTGATGATCAACATCTCCTTGTGATTCCACGAACGAACTGTAAAACATTTGGTGACCGAGCATTTGCCGTAGCCGGACCTAGGGTCTGGAACAGTTTACCATTATACATACGCAAATCCAGGGACTTCAGACTTTTAAAGCTAACTTTTTTAAACATTTTTATTTAGTCAATCTTATTCATTTATCTAATTATATTTTCAACTATTGTGAAGCGCATGAGAATATTTTAATAATTAATTGCGCTATATAAATTAAKAAATTATTCATTAATTATTTTATTATGCATAAGACCTCCGACCTCTCCTCCACCTATCTTGGTCTATTGCAACTGCTCTCATTTCTGCCAAAGGCAACCATCCTCCTTCTTTTCTTTCTCTKTCCACTGTCCTTCTCCAAGTTGTTTTCGGTCTGCCTCTTCATCTTTCGCTTCTGGGGCCTAGTTAATGCTGTTACCTCATTGCTGCTCTGATCTTTCCTGAGTATATACCCAATCATTTTCCATCTTCGCCCCTTCACCTCTTAACCGCATTTTTGCTTTTGCTAGTAGTTCTTCCTTGCACATATGATCTTGCCATTTAACTGTTTTGGAACACATTTATTTCCCGATTATCACTTTTGTTCATTTTCCAGTTTAAGATCCATATAATAATACTGGAATAACAAGAGACTTACAGCGTCTTAACTTTGTTGTAATCATTTTACTGCTCCAGATTTTCTTAAGTCTTACAAATGCAACTCTTGCTTTTGATAATCTGTTCTTTTAATCCTTCATTCCTTAATCAGACATGAATTTCCCTTTGGAATGCAGAATTTTTTCACGCCCGCCGCACTTCACGTGCCGAATACAATTCACGAATTAAATGCGGCGTATAAATCGATTAAATTTGACAGAATTAGATTAGAGTGCAAACAATATATCCGTGCAACACTAAATTAAAATAGTGAAATTTAGTAAAATTTAGTGAAAAATAGTCGAAGCGTAAATGTACTAAATTTAGTGTGTCTTGATTTTTAGCTTAGATTTTTAAAATAAACTCGTTAGAAAACACGTTCATTTGTGTACTGGGTCTTGATATTGGTTATTTTTANAGTTTAAAACACGAGAGAGAGTGTTTTATCAGGTATAAAGATTCGAGCCGAAGGCGAGAATCTTTATACCTGATAAAACACGATCTCGAGTGTTTTAAACGGCTTAAAAAACTCCAACACTAATTTGAAACTCAAATCCGTTAAAATTCTTGGAGAAATTGCCGTACAAATATGTTCAGAGATAAATGGGGCAAACTGATCATGCGCGAATCACTTTACAAAGCACTCTTGTCATCCCACATTGAATACGCATAAAGTAACATAGAAGCGCTCTTGGCTGTTCACTGAAATCGGTTGACATCCTGCATTGGTCAATGATCAGGTTTCAAACCCGAGACCTTTGCTATAATCATTAAGAGGACAGCATACAAACGTTTATCAAGTGCCTACGTCTTGCATAAAGACAGTTTATTGCAGATTGCATTTTAAGTAAAATAATCTACGTTCCCTATTTCTTAAAATACTTAGCATTTAAAACATTTTTCTGTTATCCGCCATATTGGAAAACACAGTGACCAAGAGGGGATTGGGAGTTAAAATCGGCGTCTAAATCAAATGATAGATAGATAGTTTATTATTTTGAGTCTGTTGGTCTTGCAAATTGGAACACTTGGAGTATTTGCGCTTATTTCTTAGGTTAATTGCGCACTTATTTAATTGTGGAATAAATTTATGTAGTTTATGTTATTACTGATTTCCTGAAATAGTTTTTTTTTGGTCTGGGCTTGTCGACGGTTGTAACTTGATTCCAATTGAGCGGATGATAAAGCATCTTGATAGGAGAGCGATGGATAGATTATCCTCATGGCTCGTTTTTGTAAAGCCTCAAGGTCCTCAGAAAGATAATGGTAGTGAATTATGAAACAACGGGGAGGCGTACACCATGATTGGGCGGATGCATGTTTTAAAGAAAGTTAGGAGTTCCTTCACTGCTACGTTCCCTCTTTTCAGTTGTTTAAGAAAATAGAGTCTTGAGGACACTTTCCGGGAGATTTCAGCGACATGACAATTCCACTTTAGATCGTTTGAAATGTTCAGTCCAAGTAGCTTTACATTAGGTACAACTTCGATAGCTTTAYCATTGATGATAACTGGGGGTAAATCAAMRTCGGATTTAGCAAAGGRAAAGCGAAATTCTTTGCATTTCCCTTCATTTAGTTGGAATTTGTTCTCATTATACTTGGTGACTAATTCGTCCACAGWCTCCTGGATCTTGCTTGCTTGATGTTTAGTGACAGGTTCAGCGATTGTCGTATCATCTACATATTTCCACATTTCAGTTCTTTCAATATTGATGTCATCGATCTTTAGGATGAAGAGCCAAGGGCCAAGTTTAGTGCCCTGTGGAACACCAGCTGGGATGTGGCCCCATTCAGATAGACAGTCCCTCCCCAGTTTGACTCTCTGTTTCCGTTCTCTAAGAAAATCATCCAGCATAGAACAGCATAAGGGATGTCTAGACTCATCAACTTGTGGGCAAGGATACTGTGATCGATGAGATATATAATTCACAGCATAGTACAATGAGAACAACATYCAAATAGAGCTTGAAAACACGAAGATTGGTCAACTTGATGCAAATCTGAGAAGATTTAAGGCAGAGCCAAGGAAAAAGGATGATGGCGAAACGTACGGCAAGAAGAGCCTCCTAGGTTTCTGTGACGGCATCGAAAGATACCTAAATCAGCCAAAGTTCTCAAGAAATCTTAAGATGTCAGCAGGCACAAAGTTTTCAAGATCAAACTCGATGCTAGTGACACACATCTTGTTCAGCTCAAGAGTTTAGGCAAGGAAACAGTCAACACAAACCGACGATCATGTCGCTTGATCAGAACATAAAATATGACATTTCGATGCGTAAAAATGTCTCACTATGCGTCTCCAGCATCTCTTACGCTAGCTTCGTGCTCTCCCAACTATCCGCGTGCATCCCTCATTGGATGGACGCACGCTAGATATTGTCCATTCCTTAATTGGT